AAAAGCTCAACATCAAAACAATCCAAAGTAAGCTACTATGGAAAAAAATAAAATAAAATACAATTGTACATCTCAGCTGCAAAGCTCAAGCCAAGCGGGTAAGGGTGCGGTGCTCCCGGAGAGCCTCGGGTGGTTTGCAGAGCCGGACCAAGGAGATGTGGAGAACATCAATCACTTTCTTATTTCACACAGAGAGGTGGGGTGGGGGGTCAGGGTCGAACCAAAGCCGAACAGGGTTTGTGCAGCTCAGCCTGGGCTGGTTCTCTTGGGATTTATGGACTCAGGGCAGGGGATCAGAGCGGTGACGGGGGGGGCAAAAGTGCTGCTGCTTGATGCCCCGGCACAGGGGCACGAAGGACTGAAAACCATTTGCCCTGTGAAGCAGCTTCCCCTGGAGCAGGCGGCAGGAATGGATGGCGTTAAGGAGCCCGGTTCCCAGGCAGAGGGGCCCCAGCGCCGCTTCAAACCCCGGGCTGCAGGAGTGGGGAGCGATGAATTTAAGGGGACATCATTCTTCAGTGGGTGGGGAACCCTGAACGCTGGAAATGCACCCTGAAATCCAGACCTCCAGGGCATGTATTTCAGGAAAAACGTTTTTAAAAGATTCAGTTAAAAATAGATGCATTTCTTTTCTTTTAAAATAATAAAAAAAAAAGTCTTAGGCCAGGGTGTCTTCTAGTGACCCTTTCCCCACCACCCCAAATTTAGCCAGAAAAATGCTAGCCATTTCACCAAATCTGCTGGCCACATAGACATCCACACATTCATCATTGATTTAAAAATATAATATATATATATATTGCGCACACACATACACACACACAAATATATATTAGAAAAGAAAAAAAAAATCCCTCTGAAAACTCAATCTATTAAAAAAACAACAACAAAATCCACAGCTGGTGCGTTTATCCCGTGATCATATACAGTAGAAGACAGAAATCCCTTTTGCTCCCGTAGCTCCTCGCAGAGTGCTCAGGCTGGGAGAGTGGGGAAACACATCAGGTTTTCACAGTGGATTTGTTAGCGGAGAAGGAACTGCTCCTCCCTCCTCCCACACAGAAGGGCTTTAATTTATAGCAAGTTAGATTAAAACTAGGAAACATGTTACAAAGTCCATTATATATAGACATAAAATGTACAACTGTCGGCAGCCCCCGGGGTTTCGATCTCAGCTGACACCTCGGCAGGCGGCTGGAGGGTTCGAAGGCAGTTTGGGACACGAGGGGTGCACGTACGGCCTCCGAACCGAGCGGGTGTCACAGTGCGAGGTCTTATATGAGCTCCGTGTTGGAAAGGAGATGGAACGACATCTTCTCCAGGAGCCAGGGAAGGTGGAGGCAGGGGCTGCAAAAGGCGTTAGATGCCTGGAGAGGGGATGCGTCCTCCCAGCCCAGGGCTGGAGGGGAGGGATGCAGTGCCTGGGGACCAGCTCGTCTCTCCATCACCTTGTGCCCGCGTGGGGAAGGGAGCACTCTGTGCCCGATGGAGTCCCGTGGGCAGGCGTGGGGAGAGTGTGGCTCACAGCTTGTGTGAAGGTGGGCTTATTGAAAAATGCCTTTCCCCCTCCCTTCCAAAGGAGCAGCGTATCAATTAAGGGAGGGGGATGCCCGGTCTGGTGCTGCCTTCAAAGGGTCACTAAGATGTCAAGCCAGGCATTGAAACCACCTCTGCTGTGAACAGCGGTGTGCCCAGGGAGCCTCACAACCCCCTAAAAAGCTGTGTAGGCTCTTGGGGGCAGGGAGCCAGGCACAAAGGGAAGGCAAGCGAGACCAGACTCTGGGGAAGGGGCTTTGGGTAGGCAGGGGAGAAGAGTGGAGTAAGCACAGCAGCATTTTTTTTTTTCTCTCTGCCTTCCCCAGGCAGCAAAGAAACAGAAACCCCCTGCGCTGTGCACCAGGCTGCTGGGGAGGGGAGATGCCCTCTGGCACCGTCTGCCCTGGCCTCGCTCAGGCACCATGGGCATGGTCCTCTCCCCAGGAGGGCTATGCTGGCATCAGCAGGGAACTCCCGAGCCTTCGGTCTCCGTGGCTTAGTTGGAAAGTTGTTGGCTTCAAAAGGCTCATCCTGGGGGATTTCGTTTACAGGGCAAAGACAAAACAGATTATGAGGCCGGATGGGGCCAGAGATGCCCAGGGGCTGGGGAAGTGCGATTTGTGCAAACCACCATTAACTCAAGTCCTCGTTCGCTCTTCTGCGGGGAAGCCAGGATGGAGGGGACTGCACGAAGCCGTGAGGTTTGAGTTAGGAGTCTTCCCCAAGGATCTCTGTCACGAAGGAGGCCATGTCAGTCTCTTTGGTGTCGTGCAAGGTAAAGAAAGGATGTTCCTGCCAACGAGACCAAAGACAACATCAGCTGACACCCAAGGACAGACAAGCCCAAGAGCAGTCCCTGGGGGATGTCACGCAGCTGGCGAGGTGCTGGGGCAGAGGTGGACACCAACCTCCTCCCCACGCTCCCACAGACGCCATCCTTTAGCTTAAAGATTAACTAACACTTTCAGGTTTGGCGTTTCTAGGTTCAAGCCCAGCGGGACAGCCCACCTTGGCAGCCGTACTATCATCATTTGAGGTCTAAGCTCACCAAGAGCAGATAGGACAGTGGAAGAAAACACCTAGAAACCCTGACCTTAACACCCATGAAATCAACACACCCTTCCAACCTTAGATACGCTACACCCATCCCGCTCCGTGCCTGAAAAAAAATCACCTACACATCCTGTTGTCCCATTGCCCTAGAACCTGCTGGACCATTCATTTGACTTTTGGAATGTGTTGGGATAAAGATCAGCAGAAACAGCTCCACACTTACCATAAGTTCTAAATAGTTCATTCGCTCAGCAGGGTTCTTCCTTAAGCTGGAAGAAAAGAAAAAAAATGGGAGAGAAAGGCTGTAGGATCTTTTTCTTTTGCTGTATGTGGTCTGTCACAGGGGATCTCCTGTTCCTAACCAACGTGACATCCTTCCCGTTCCTCTCCCTCCGTGGCCGAGCAGGTTTGAACCACCAGGGAAGGAGCCAGGCAGGTAACTGGGAAAGGACAACTCAGAGTGTTTTGCCACAAAAAGCAGAAGCCAAGCAGGCACAGCCTTGCTTGTCCGCTCAGACCAGAACGAACCGGGAGGAGAGGAGATGGTTTCCCACTACCCATAAGGTAAGCCTTGCCTTGGTGGGCTCAGCTCTGCCTGGCAGCTCCAAGCAGCACAGAGGGAGCAGAGGAACACCCCACGGGGAGCAGCTACCCACAAAACCACAAATCAGCTTTCACCCACAGGCACCCAGACGCTGCCAGGGGTTCATTTTCGTTTCGTTGCTGCTTTGCCAGAAACCACCAAAATTTCAGCAGCAGCGATGGTAAAAGGGGAAGAGAAACCTCTACACCTTCCAACCAGCTTGGGTGAGTCAGGCCGAGAGCAAAACCAGTTTGGGCAGCGCTTCCTGCCATGGCCAAGCACCAGCCTCGGTACAGCAAAGTGGGGAGAAATGCACTCTGAAAGGATGACAAACCCAGCCCCACGCTTTGCTCCAACCCCCATGGATCAGGGCTCCTCTTCAGCCAGGCTGGGAGAAGCCACCAAGTCCCAGCCGGAGACTCACCACTGCGCCGTGAAGTCCACAAACTCCTTGGAGAAGCGATCAGCAGGCAGCTGGGGCGAGGGCTCCTCCACCACTTGCTTGAGCTGTTGGAAAGGGGTCCCCCAGGACTCGTACGGGAAGCGAAGAATGGCCAGTTCGATCTGAGGATGGAGACAAGCTGACATGAGACACTGGGACGAGCACGACCTCACGCAGCCTGCCTACCTCAGCCCGCTCACATTCAAAATGAAAAGCCTCTTTCCTTACAAAACATTTTCAATTTGGGTCATACCACCTTTTTTTTTTTTTTATTATTATTAATACAAAGACCCAGAGGCCAAAATACTTCCTTTTAAGGCTGGCTCAGCATACTAATGCATTTACAGGAAGCTGCCAAAGATATGTAAAATGGGATTATTTAAAAAGATAATAACGGCACACCGTTTCTGCACTGGCTTCCAAAGTGCTTTGCTCACCATAAGGCAGGCAGCCTCTGGGCTCCAGGCTAGTACTGTATGAGCTAGACACAAAAAAAATCCACAAACCTAAGAAAAACTAAGTGCTAGAACATCACTTATGAAGATCTTTGCCAAAACCACCTCAATTACTGGGTCCTTCCTACAAGTCATCTCTGCTCGATCACCCATTCAAGCAGGAAAAAGCCCATCAGAGCTCTTGGGCAGTCTCCTCATGACAAGGGTTGGTTTCCATCTCAAAATGGGCAACAGAACCTCCAGACCTGCCTGGCAAGGTGGGACGGGATGGGAGGAATAAGAAACCTGAAAGGACACAAGGCAGAGCCAGATGCCCTCGCCTGCCTCTGGCTGAGGTCAGGGATGCTCAGCTCCTGCTACTGGAAAATTGAAGCAAGCCACCAGCTCAGAAAGGCTTGGATTAGCCCTGCAACTCCACGGGTTTAAAACTGGCCAGTCCGAAATCAATCAAACCTCTTCAGAAATAAAAGAAAAAAAAACAGGAAGCCAGCCCAGGAGGAAGGCATGAGAGGGAATCAGACAGGTCAGGGCTCCATTCAGCTGCAGGCTGGCAGGCTTTCAGCAAGGTCCCCTCTCCCATCCAGCTTTGGGAAGGTTCAGAGATTTTGTCATTCAGGCAGTCTCCCATCCCACAGCTTCCTGCATCTCGGGAGGAAAGCCGGAGCTGATTACATTTCCAGCCAGCCAGCCCAGCTCTGCTCCGCGCTGGCACGGGGACACCAAGGCGAGGGGCTTGGGTTTGGCACTGCGGACAAGACTGGCTGGGGAAGAGGGAATATTTGCCAAGAGATCTGTGCAGTGCACACAAATGCAGGGATGTAGTGCCCAAAACAAAAGCCGCAGCTAAGAGGGTGCAGGAAAAATTCCTGAAAATAATCTACCCACAGAAAGACAGTCTCCTGGAAAGTGAGAGACATGTTCCCAGGCAGCATCCCCTTCGAGCCAACAGCTGGGACTTCCTTTGTCCTCCAGCGCCAGAAGATTTCAGCTGCTTTCTGCAAGATCCGTTTCTTGCAGGAGGTAGATAAACCATCCCGAGCAGCTGCGATTTTGGAACTGAAAGTATTTCCCCTTCCTGTTGGCTGCTCTGAGCTACCCTGCAGGCAGGACTTGCGGCAAACCATGCACAGCATCCTTTGCTGCAGCAGGGCAGGCTAACTCACCCCGATACTCTTGCAAGGCTTTGGTAACACAGGAGAGGGGGGGGGACATGCAAGAAAGCTGTGACCCAGCTACAGCAAACCCTGCTCCGCTGACTACCTCTCTAGCCAGCACACGGGGAACTGCAGAGCAATTAAAAGCCAGACTCTCAGATGCCCAGCTAAGCCCGCTGTCATCCAGATATCGCCCCTTGGGAGCCTGCCATCCACACCAACATAGTTCAGAGCTAAGCGGAGCTTTTTGGAGCTGGCATCGTACACAAGTAGCTCTGTGAAATCAAGTAGAGGGGTACAAGGGAACCACATGGGAACAAAAGGCCTTTATGTATTCCCCAGGATCCAGCAGGAACATGCAAGAAGGGAGAGGAGGAAAGAGAAGGGGCAGAAGATGGATTATCTCCTGGCAAGCTTGCCAGCCGACTCGCCAAGAGCCGCAGCAGTGGTGGCAATGCTGGCTGCACACCCCGGCTCACGGCTACCTGTCCTGGGGCGAGGTACCCCTGTGTACACACAGGGCAGCACCTCCACCCTGTGCCCTGGGTAATTAATCTCATGCCCTGAGCTATCACGCTCAGAATTTAGTCCCATTTGGTGGGCATCCGCCCAGGGGTGAAGCCACCAGCTGCCACTGCTCATGGTAGGGGTACAGCCCCACCAGCAACCAGGGTTGCCAGGTGCTGGTCCCAGTGCTTGGCATTACCATTGTGATCCCCAGGCTCCAGACATCTGACTTCACGTTGTAGCCCTTCTGGTTCAGCTCAGGGTTTATTCTTTCTGGCTGTAACAGTAAAAGGGAAGATATTACAACTCTATCTTGTTTTCCCAGTGCAAACCCCACAGAGCAAATCTCTGGCTCCAAAACCCAGGTTGAATGGATTCCCTGGCTCATGTCCCCATGGAAGCAGGGTCTGAGGTTAAATCTAGGGTTGACGAAAGCCACGTCTTGCTCCACACAACCCACGTAAACTCTCTCCTCCAGCTCCTGAGTGAGACTTGTATTACCCCCGCAGTATGATCCTTCCCCAGGAGCACAAGCTACCTGCACAGATGCCACAGACGGCAAAGGGAAATTCATACTGACTTGAGGATTAAATGATCCTGCCAAGGAAAGACTCTGCATTTCCCAGCCAACAAGGACCAGCCCTTCCAACCACCACAACCAGCACCAGCCAGTCTTTTACCCCTCTGCAAAAGGACGGTGGCAGAGGAAGAGTCTCCTGCAGGATTAACACACAGCGCAGGGCTTCCAGGGAGGGTAATCCCATCCTTGGAGGACTCCGCTGAGTCAGGAAGCCCAGAGCACTCTGAAGTGGTTTCTATCTCCGGACAGAGGTGAACCAAGACTGATTTCTAAGCGGCAGCCTCGTCGAGTCAAGGCTGAAGGCCGCTGAAGGCTGCCGGCTCCGCTCCCACACCAGCACACTTACAGCCATGTACGGTTTGCAGCCAGCATCCATGGTCTTCGCAACAGAGTCCACCAAGTAGCCGCTGATCCCAAAGTCACACATTTTCACGTGTCCCTCCTTGTTAATCAGCACGTTGGAAGGTTTCACGTCTAAGAGAGAGAACACGAGAGGGCAGATTGGGCCTTTACAGAGGTATCGCAGAGTCTGAGACAAGATGGACAACTCCCTGCCGACCTGGGAGGGGACCAGGCAGGCCCTAACACAAGGGAAGGGAGACAAAATCCCACCAGTCTTTTATTTCAATAAAAGTTGTTCACAGGTAAAACTATAACCACACCCTCCAGGCAGAATAGGCCTCCTCTCTAACGAGGCAGGTCATAAGGTTGAAATAAAATGCTGAGGAGCTAATGCCTAGCTCCTTAGGAGAGATTTATGCACCCAACACAGTCTTAAAAGCCCAACTCTACGAAGTTCTCAGGACAGCCTGTCTCATGCCCATCATGATCTGTCCACAACTACACAAGGAACTATGCCAGGATGAAGAGTAGGACCTGGGTGTTAGAATTCCCATCTGTGATTTTATAGGGTCTCCTTCAGCTCGGCCCTCACCTTGCTAGAAGCACCGAGCCAGGAAGGCTTGGGGATTTTGTCCCCAAGAGCTGCCTTCAAGGCACCTCCGTACTCAGAGAGAAACAGAGATGCCAATTAAAAATACAGGGAGTGAGGAATTCAGTTATTATATTCAACCCTTCATCTGGAAAGGAGGAAGAGAACAACATCATGCAAGCAGACGCATGAGGGATACATCTCAGGCACAAGCCTTGGGCATCTAGATCTGTCCACTATGGTCCTAAGTACCATTAGACCCCACTGTAGGCATCCCAGAGGGGCACATCACGCATCTCCTGGAAAGGAGGCCTCACATATCTTATTTCAAGGCTAGATCTCCAGTCACATCATGCTAACCCCATCCAGCACCTACCTCTATGGATTACGGACAGTTTACTGTGCAGATGCTCCAGAGCTCGCACAATCTGTGGACAAACAGAGCGAAAGAGGACCCTTTAGTCACACACAGCACCAGCCTTCCACTGCAAACACACCACCTTTTCCACGTGTCGTGGGCCTCAACAGAGACCTCTAACAGGCTCAGGGGATGCACAAAACCACGTAAGAACCCAAGAAGCACTCACAGACACGGCCATTTTCCCCAAAATGTCTTCAGGGATGGTTTTCTTCTTCTCCAGAACTTTCTTGTAGAATTTATCTAGGGAGGTGTCCATGAGTTCCATGCAGATCCACACATCGCCCTGTGGATGGAGAGAAAGCAGTTGAGAAGGAATTCCCTGGAAACCCCCGGGAGCTGAAGGCAGCGGTGGGGACAGCAGTACAAATGGACACTGCCCCTTCCACACAGGGCAAACCAAGGTCCCTGCCACACAGCTGCTGTTTGGCCACACCACCACCACACAGGCTCCACATTAGATAGCGATGGGCACAGATGCTCCAGTACCACCAAAACTACCTGCGATGGCCTCCCTTCAAGGGTCTACCCCAAAATCAGCCCAGGTCATGGACAGTGTCCTTGGGCATCTGCCATGGAAGTAATGAATGGGACTTGGTCAACACTGCCTGAAGGAGGCAAGCCTTTGACTTTAAGTCATGGCAGCATCTCAAACAGCCCAGCAGAGCTGAAGAAAGCAGAGGTGGTTTAGGACAGTTCGGTGCCTTCAGCGCAATCATATGGGCCCCAGGTGCTGCGCAGCCCACCAGCCATCCACCGGCTCAGTACCTCACGGAAGAGGGCTCCATAGAAGGTGACGGTGTAGAAGCAGTCAACTGTCCTCATGGAGATGTCCAAGTCCATCAATAACCTCTTCTGCTCCTGAGTGTTCACAGTCGCTCGAATCCTCTGAGACAAATATGAAAGAAGAGGGGTTTGATGATGTAGATGGGATAACACCGTTATCCCTCAGTCTGACTCAGAGGTCCTGTGGTTCTGAGGCCAGGGCAAGCATTTAACGCTCATTTTGCAGTCTAGCATCCAGGAGATGCCCAGATTCCCTCTTCCAGACAGCACCTTAATGAATGACAAACGCTTGGCAAGCTCTGCAGCGGATGCAGGATCAGGCCAGCAGCCTGGACAGGCACTCTGACATCCAAACCTTGCACTATCTAACTGCAGGCACCAAGCCTGGATTTCAAAACCTGCTGATCAACCCCCCAGCGCCCAGCCGGTATCAGCACACACCCTTCAACAGCCAAACTACACCAGGAACACCAGAGCCTGCCAAATCGAGAAGCCTGTCCTCATTTTGCCACGACTGGTGGAACTGAGCAGAGCTTCTCTGCTCCCTTGGAGCTGCACATCCCGACCTCCATCCCCCCCAGCAAGCAGCTGTCCTCACCTTCACGGCCATGATGGTGCCGCTCTGTGCGTGCCGGACCTTCTCCACCACACCATAGGCCCCACGGCCCAGCTCCGAAATTGCTACCAGGTCATCAGCTTCCACCTCAAAGTTCTTCAGGGAGAGAGACAAGAAAAAAAAAATCAGATACAAGGACATCAGCAGAGGTTCAAGGCTTGCAGCTCACTCATGCAGTGCATTTCCAAATGACGGTACCTACAGGACTCCACCAGCTCCTACACATACCAGAGGCATCATGCTTAGAGAAGAGAGGTATATTTTTTGCTCTGTTGAACCAGAGCCCAAACCCTCTCATCTGGCACTCACCAGGGCTCATTTAATTCCCCTTCTGCAGCTAGAGATCAGGACTTTCATCCTTTAAGCCAGGGCACGCTGCCACTGGAAAAGGCACAAAGGTTGGTGCCTCTCTGCCTGCTCAGGATTACCCACACACGAGTATTTCTGCAGTTGCTGAACTACTTGCAGGCTTTTAACACCTCCCATGCCAACACGGGCAGCTCTGCCACAGCTCCAAATCCCCGTGTGCAGCTGGGGATCCCCCACCTCGCCCCTCATCCCAAGAGATCATCGGTCACAAAGACACCTACATGTCTAATAACGCCTCTGCCTGTGCAAAGCCTCTCTTAGATGGGATGGTGCACGCACCAACTCAGAAACCCAGTTCCTAATTATTGGGGAGTTCAAACGGGGTTTACCTGCTTTCGATACTTTCTCTCACCATCAGAAAGCAGCCAGTAAGGTAAAATGTGAGTTAGCACCAAGGAAGGAGCTCAGGCGAGTGCAACTACATTAAGTCTCGCTTCAAGCTGGAAAAAACCCATCGTCAGTGCTCCGAGAAGCGAGTGCCCCACGCAGCACGGACCCAGCTGCAACCCAGGAACAAGTTTCCCTAAAGACGTGTTACCCTGTAATTGCCTGCTCTGCTGGGCAGGGCACAAACTGTTTGAGTGAGACATGGGCTATTTTTGGACGCTGCGTTCATCACTCCTAATAAGTCACAGGCCTTCTTTTAGCCAGGCTTTATCCAGCCTCCAGTTTTCCTCCGGTCTCAGGGAACAAAAATAATACCAGGATGCCAAATTACCCCAGCAGCCACAAAGGCAGCGAGGGTGGGAAACCTGCACGGCACAGTGCCGGATACCGTGCCTGCGAGCTACGCCCAGAGCGGAGAGGAAACAGCCTTCGGCATTAAGGAGCCAAGCTGGGAGATGTGGCTGCCAGGCTCCTGGCCAGCAAGCTCTCCTCGGTGCTAGCCACGGCACGGCCAGCAGCGACCAGCTCCACCAGACCTTCTCTCCAGCCCCAGCTCTGTCTATTTGAGCCAGCTGTGCCCGGCAGGGCTGAGCTGGGGATCAAGGGAGGTCTGTGCTTGAGCTCAGCACTAAGCTATGCACTGCCCAGCACAGGAAGGTGCCGGCCCTTTCCTGGGCAGGACGGTGGATTCAGAAATGAGGAGAGCAGGGCTAAGGGGGACACGTCCAACCCCTGACCCTGCCGCTCCGGGCAGCTGGCAGAGGAGCAACGCAGGCTTGCAACTCCTGCAGGGGCCTCCAGGAAGGATCTGGTGGTGCTTTTCAGGACACGTGTTTTGCAGTTGTTCCAGGTTATTGTTGTTTTTCTGGTTTGGGTTTGTTTTTTTTTCCTGGCATTTACCCTAAGGCTTCCCCAGAAGTCGGCGGTTCCCAGCCCACTCCAGGAACCAGCGTCACCCTGCCCAGCAATAAGAGGGGATGTGCTCCCCTCCCCTGGTCATGGGATGCACCGCATTGCCTGCACAGATCTGACGGACCCGAGGTCATCATCCACCCCTGTGGCCTAACGTTGGCCTTCTGCCCAAGCCCTCTTCCTCCCATCATGTCACTGCAAACCACCTGGACCAGACCCTCTCCTGCAAACATTGGAGCAGGCAGAGGAAGGAAGGAAGCAAGCCTAGAGAGCTTTCCCCCAGCCACAGCACTCTCCCCTTGCACACACCATGCCCAGGCTGTGACAGACAGCATCCCTCCCCGAGCTATTCATACACATGACACAATGGCCAGAAAACGGCACAAGCAGCAGGATTGTTCCCTGGACCCAGCCAAAGCTTCCTCTCCTCTCCCCTAACCCTAAACCCTTGCACCGAGGCCGAGGGGCCCAGGTCCCATCAGCCAAGCCACCTCCCAGCCTGGAAGGTAAGCAGCCAGATATAGGGCTGATCCAATGCGTGGTATTTTTAGCTCGCTTGCAAACAGCCTTCTGCAGCCCCAGGAGAGCCCGTAACAAGAGAATGAAATAAAAGAGAGACAGTGGCTATTTCTAGCAATGTTTTTCATCAGGTCACTAGGAAAGGCTTTGGAGAGCTGGAGAGGAGCTTTGTGCCCAGCCTCTCCTGTGCCACGGGCAGTAACACAGCCCTGCGGGTAGGCAGGACAAAGGGGACTTTGTTTGGGGCAGCCGGAGAGCGCAGTGAGGCCATAATGATTTAGGGTGGATGGGCTGGGTCCATCCATTCAGACCGAGGTGGCTGGTGGGGCTGTCAAGGGATGGCTGTGATCTCCCACTACGGTCAAAACCGCACACCTAGCCTTTGAGGCCATCCATCTGCCTCGCCAGGACTGCAGTAGAGCCCAGGCAGGGAGTGCATGGGCTCAGGTACGAGCCTCCTTGCAGGGGGGGTGATATGTCCGGCTCCCCAGCAGTTGCTGCTCTAAATACACACGGACCCCACATTGCTCCACAGGGGAAAAGTCCTGCTACGGGATGTCTCGTCCCCGCAATGACGCATCCCACGAGGCTGCACCAGGAGGGCCCCGTCCTTCTCACGGGGTGCTCTGAAATCTCAAGATCTGATCTGACAAGTCGTCAGGCATGATCCATAAAACTGTCCATGCGCGGGGCAAACAAAATTGGAAGCAAGCAAAAAAGAAACCACATTGACACATACTTTTTCTCCAATGGTAATGAACGCTCTGGAGTCCAAGTTCCTCGGGGGCCTGCAACGAGAGAGAGAGAGTCAGGAGAAAGCCCAGCTTCATTAACCTTGGCCAGAGCCAGGTTTCACATTCCTTCGAGCACTTTCAGCCACTGCTTTCCACCATGCCTTGTCATGGGTTCAAACCAGACCCCTCCAAACACTCACAAATGCTTTAATCGTGTCAGTAACACCTCAACCCACACCCACGAGGCACTCGCTGCACGCAGGCAGCGAAAACCCCAGAGAGTCAGCTAGGTGAGACACGCACCAAACCAACAGGCTACGAAACCACCCCTGCTCAGGAGCCGAGCCCAAGGAACCGAGACCGACGGGATGAGACGTTTCTGTGGCAGAGCAGCTCAGCTGTCATGTTTTGACAGGAAGGTGTTGTAAGAGGACAGCCACGTAGCCCGAAACGCACGCCGAGGGAATAACAGGTAATTCCTCACCCGTGAGTCATCTGTGTACACTGCAGGCCTGTCCCAGGTAGCACGGCAGGCAGAGCAGGCAGCACTTCGGTGTCACGCTCCGCACCACACTGCGCAGGTGAAAGTCTCCCTTTATGGCTTTTTTCCTCATTGCTGCCCACGTCCCATTATGGGCAGCAAGGTACTTTGAGAGTGTTTTGTCCCCCGTGCCTCACTTCTCTGCTCTCCCCATCCCCTGGAACCTTGTAAGAGTGAAGATTGCCCAACTGGTTTAGCCTCTCAATTCCCATCAGAGCAATACAGCAACCTCAGACTTCAAGGAAGTACTTCAGGCTCACAGCAAAAGCCTTGCACTGTGCAAATATTTGCACTGCAGCTTGAAAAGCATAGAGAAAAGGAGTTGTGGATAGCTTGCACCAGCCTCTGGGCATGGAAGGACCCCACAAACTCCAATGTGATGCCTTCTCCAGGGGAAATTCAAACACCGATAGGAGCAGAGACAGATGCACCCGTGGGCGAAGAAGGTGGCTGTTGCACGCAAGGCTCGGTGTGTGCACGCTAGGCTGCACAGCATTAACGGGGGAGTTCCCCTGGTTCCCCCTCCAGCAGATCTGCCCTATCTACCTGGGATTTTCGGTAGTGATACTTCCCTTTCGGGGATTTCACTGCCCTCCTGGAGCTGGGAGGGTCTCTAGAACGGGTTTCTGGAGCAAACAAGGCTCAGCAGTGGAGTTGTAGCCCAAAGTGTTTTGGAAGAGCACGACGGAAGAGGAATTTTAGCCATCTGCTCTTTGTCAAACCAACCACCATTACCCTGGGCTCTCCCTGACAGCATAACAAGCATCAGCTGCATGAAGCCAACAGGGCAGAGAGAAATTTCAGTGCTCTGAGGCACTGCTGGACACCAGCCCCCGGCAGCAAGCAGCACAACGTGAGATGTCGTCTGTGTCCTCCTCGCACCAAGGCGAGGAGCTGCAAGCAACTTGAACTAGCCCTGATGCACAGGTCAGGGGGAGGATGCTCTGCCATGCAGGGCATCCCCCAGTCCTCACTCCCCTGCTCCTGCCATGGTCCAGCTGCCACCACCTCTTCTCTTCCCCTGCACTAAAAACCTTCCCCTCTTCTTCCCTCGGGCAGATTTGCTCTCTCCAGCATGTCTTTGCCCTTGGGCACCGGCATAGCCACGGCAGAAAGACTGAAGAGAGTCTCCCAGCAGTCTCCTAGCCTTTGCCTTTCAGCCATTTCAAATCAAACAGGCACCTCCCAGAGAGGCACACGCTGTGCATGTGTCCGCACGCACACGTGCATACGTGTGTAATTCTTTCTCATCACCCACAAGCCAGAGCTTAAGAGAAATAAAATTAATTATGCTGATTTTGTGAAGTCTTCAAGGGCCATTCCCCTCGAGACAGTGCTGAATCCAGCTCCGGCTGGCTTTAAGCAGCAGAGACACTTACGTTGTGTTGGCAACAGGCTGTTTGATGGGGGGACATGTTATCCTCAATTCCCGTTTCTTCTTGCTTTTCACTGGAAGAGAAGACGCACATGTAAGCAACCGGTATTTTTACTTTTCTTCCTTCAAGCACCCTCTTGCCTGCAGCCATCAGGTAGGGGAGGCAGGGCCTGGATCCCCCACCCTGTGCAGCTATGGCAAGATGACAAGAAGGTGACAGTGCTCATGACCATTCGCCCAAAATTTCAAGCAAGAGCCAGAAGTACAACTGGGTCTCAGTGTCCCTGTCGAGCCCTTGCCTGCAGAAACACCCAGGGGTGCACTGACAGAGACCACTTCCCAAGTCTCGTAGCCAAGCGCAGCCTTGCAGTGCTCCTCAGACCCCCCAAAAGTGCTCCTTACCCCTCACGGCCATTAACAGTCCCCTCTCTTTGGGGATTTTAATTGCTGATGTTCAGGAGATGGGTTAAAGCTGTGATTTCTGCTGCACACTTACCCGGTTTGTGCGGCTCCAAGGATCCTTTGGAATCTAAAAGAGAGAAGGGAGACACCAGCTCAGTCTTCATCCTCCAGTCGAGCCGGGTACCAACCCTGCACCCCTCACGGTCCCACGCAGGGCCCACGCAGAGCCCTCCCGGCTGCGCCGCAGGCAGAGGGAGGCAGATGGGCTGCTTGAGCCCAGCCCAGCAAAGCCTGGCCTGATCCCCATTTCTCCAGCCACAAGAGGTCCCCACGCCATTAATGATGCACAGGACTCCCAAAAATGCTCCCTGTCCTGCTCCTCCTTGCCCCACAGCCCCCCTGGCCCCCACCCAGGCCTTCCTGGGAAGAGCCAGACGCATTCTGCAGCGTGGGTTGGATCTGGCACGGAGGGTGATGGCCATCAGACCCCAAGGACAGGGAACACCCCACACACAACCAGGGGAAACCAGGGCAAAACCAGACAGGAGGTGACTACAAAAGCCAGTAGTGAACCGGCCACAAAGCCAGGCTTGCAGAGGCTGAGACCCCACCAGACCAGGCACAACCCCACCAGGAGCGACTGGCGAGAGGATGCTCTCTTCCCACTCCTCCCCAACTCCAAACAGCACCCACCTACCTCGCTGGGAAAATAACCAGACCATGAGGGGCTGGGATGGGGCTGAAGTGATAAAGCTGAGAGCATCAAAGTCCTAATTCTCCCAAAAAGAGATAAGGGGGCAGCTGCGCTTTGCAGCTCAGGGTGCTTCTGGCTGCAGGGACCGGGAAGATGCAGGAACAGGGAGGTGTGCTCCAGGCACCGAGCTGGGAGCGGATGGCTCAGCATGGCCTTGGACAGCCCTTCAAAACAGCTCCTACCTGTCTGGCTCCCGGGAGCAGGCGTGCGGACAAAGTCCAGCACTCCGAAGGCTGTCAGGGAAGGGAGGGGAGAGGGAAGGAGCTGGGATTGCAGCAGGAGATACAGCACCGTGCAAGAGCTCCCATAGCAGTGAGACAGAAGGACAACACACATCCAGCAGGCTCCCAGTACGGACAGCCCCCGTCCCCATCCCTGTACCCCGCCAGCTCCAGATGCCTCAGCCAAGATGGGTGCCTGAGACCCACTTTTCCAGTCCTGTCCTTCCCCAAATGCAAACCTCGCTGGGGCTGCAGGTGAAAGCTGATCTGCAAGATACTGCAAAGGTCCCAGCTGCAGGACGAGCAGCATCCCTGCCTGCCAAGGCAATCGGGACGGATCAGTCCACATCCCCGTCTTACCTGCCACCTTCCCTGCATCAGAGCTGGCCCATAAGGTCTGGGACCAGCACAGTGCCCACAAGCTATGGGAGTGATGTGAACTTCCAGCTCAATGAAACGAGCCAGCGAGCCACTCCACCCCAAACCAGTGCCGCCTGACTGGAAACCAGCTCTGGAGACCTGATCATGTCACGGCAATCACAGCTTCTAATTTGTGAGCCTGCAAAGTTTCCCTTCCCCATTGCCCACCCAGCAGGGCTGGAAGGGGGACTATCAATAGTCCAGCATGGCCACTGATGAATGACCCTTCGCAAAATACCTGGTTGAGCAACGACGGGAGCAAACGCAAAACGGAGTCAAAGGAAAGACGCTGTCCGTGGGTTCAGAAATGCCCCCCCTTCCCACACCCAGCCTCTCGCTACTCAGCGTGGGAGGCCGACCACAGAACCTCAAAACTGGGGTCCCCAGCATCCTTCTGCACCTGGGCAAGTTGGGGAGCTCACCGTGGGCACACATCCCATCCCATCCCAGGGGATGGATTTAGCTCGCTGCTGACCAGGAGCCTTGCACCGAGCATTTCTCCCCCATGACCCGCTCCAAAACTCCCACAGCCGTTTGTACACAGCCCCCCCAGGCAGTTACCAGCCAGACCTCTACACGAGGCCCTGAAATGCTCCCCAATCGGCTGATATTTTACTTCATCTCTTTGCTCTCCCTCTCCCCAATTGCCATAGTAACCCCGCACAGCCGGCACAAAGCATCTTCTGTGCCGCCGGCTCCCCTGGCAG